CCATACGAATAATTATTAAAAACTTACCAAAAATATAGAATAAATAAAAATATAACTGCTCTCCACTAGGACTATTTATCGGACGGATATTTATACTTAATAATTCGGCTTACCGATTATCGACTTGTAAATATAATAATGACTAGCTAACCGATAAGATATCGGGCGAATCAGTATCCGATTGCGATTTATCGGCTAAATCACATAGACAATGAAAATGGCATCAATAAGCAAAACAGTGGACACTAGACAGATTATCCAATCATAATCACATTCACTCTCGATTTAAATAGGTTCCAACTATTACCATGACTCCAAAATATTCTACTGGAAACTAGAACTTCAAGTCTTCAACGAACTGAAATTCAAAAAAAAAAAAAGACACAATCTTTTCGGGTTACGGCTTGCAGGACCTTTAACATTATAAGCATGACTAAGAGAGAGAATAACAAGAACTTATTGTTGAACTTAAAGAGATTAAGAAAAGATTGTTGTTTCTGTATTGACAGATATTCGGCCATTTTTCGACCAGGGGGTCAACCCCATCACGACCACTTTGTAGTAGATGGTCAACGTCGCTGACTCTTGACTTATGACAGCTGTACCTTAAAACGAACGAGGGACGTCTCAACAACGAAAACGGAGGGCCCATTCGTGACCAGATGAAAAAGACCTGAGGCTATAAATACCAAGGGAGAGAACCTCCCATGGGGGGCTTCTTCTTCTACACAACTCTGAATACTCCAAAAATAGAAAGATATACTCCATAAGTGGAGCAAGAAACAAGATCAATGTAAGATCCTGAACCTCTTCAAGGAGAGGCGGGTCAAGTCACCTTGATGAATAAAACCCCGTTTATATTGTTCCATAATTGATTATTTCAATGTCTCAAGTTGGTCTTCTAATTCAGTGATTAATTATGATTAGCTATGATTTGCCCTTTGAATTATTTCGATTGATTTACTTGGAAAGTATTCATAATTTTCAGTCAAACACTAACACACATTTAGAAACTTAGAGAAAGGGGATGGAAATTTGAATTAAAAATTCCGGATCTGAAGAAAAGAAAAAAGAAAAAAAGGGGTTCGAAGAATTCATTCTGATTTCTGCTAAGCTGTCTTAGTAGTTTTCTGGGCTCCCAAGAAGTTTTTGAATTCGAAGTTGAAGCTGTGTGTTGATTTCTGCTGTTGAATTGGCCGTTTAGTGGCTGAATTCAGACCTTTATTTTGGTCCATTTCTTCTGCTGTTGTTCTGCCTTTTAGTGTTGTTCGAAGTCTAAGCTGCTGATTTTCGCTGAAGTTGGGCTCCAACTCGAAGCATCTCCCATTTATTTGGCTTTCGGTCCAGTTTGCTTTTTGTTTTTTCTTCAAACAGGTACACATATATTCCTAAGCTTGTAGTATTTGGGTTTATGGAATGAAAGTTAATGCAAATTCCCGTTGGGTTGAATCAGTATGTTAGTTTGCTTGGTTGTGATAATGACAGACCTATGAATGCTAGATTAGTTGAATTTAATCACTTTAAAGCTAATTCTGATCCTAAAAAAAGCATAATCTGGACACGGCGTATAAAGATCTATGTGAGATTTGCTTTATGAATCATTTTTAATTGTGTTTTTGAAGAAAGGTTAGCGCAATTTTTATGCACAGTTGAATTTAGTTGTGTATGGATCCTACTGGATTTTACTCTTAAAATCAGTCTATGAGTGTTGAGTTCAAATTAAAAAATGGGATGTTGAAAAGTCCTTGTCATAACGGAGCCCAGGCCAATTCGTTTGGGCCATTCTAAATGAATGGCCCAACAGAACTCATTTGGATGTTGCTTGGGCCTTGGGCCTGAATAAAAGGCCCGGATGTCTTTCCTCTTATGACAATTAGGACTGGACCCATCCACAATCTCAAACCTTAGGAAATAATCGTTATTGAACATATAATAAATCATTGTGACTATGGGTACGGTTCCCGTGACATAGTCATGGTACATACATCCCAATTCGAGTGTGCGTTTCACGTGATTCGACCATAACTTCAAATAATAATAAAAATCAACATGTTGTAGATCGCGAGTTCGATTCGCGTGACGCTATTTGCAATATTTACAAAGACAAAACGAGTACGCGACATCGCGACTTGTTCAAATGAATTCCATAAAATAATTAAAAGCCGTATAAAAGCGGCCATGCACAATAGGTTTTAAATATGTATTGAACCAGATAATTAGGCCAATTTTAATAGTTGAGCGATCGTGCTAAAACCATAAAACTCGGGAGTGCTTCACACCTTCTCCCGGGTTAACAGAATTACTTACCCGGTCTTTTGTGTTCGCGGACCATAAATAAGAGCCAAATTTCCTCGATTTGGGATTTAAAGTAAATCGGTGACTTGGACACCATAAATTATTCCTAGTGGGGGCTCTGAAATTAAATAAATAATCCCATTTCGATTAATGTCACTTTAATTGGAAAAACTCCCTATCTCCTAAGGAAAACCGGTGACTTGGGACACCTTGATAATTATTCTAAGTGGTGACTCTAATTAAAATAAATAATCCATTTCAAATAATGTCACTTCAATTGAAAAAACTCTTTTATCTTCGGAAAAGAGGTGTGACACAAGGATTAGCTAATCTTGTTGTTATCCAAAACTAATCGTTCAATACCTGTGTACCTCTCCCTTTTCACCACTTTAAAAAAGGTGAATTAAATTTGCCACTTAGGGGACACGTGCCAGTCCCAAAGGCTAATCAACATAATTAGGAATTAAGTTGAAAAAATAAAGGTTCATCCATGAATAAGTCCATAGATGAGCTGTTTTGCAAAAGGTGGAAGCTTATTTAATCCCAATTATAACCGAGAGCAAAAGTCATCTCAAATTCTCAATTAATTTGACATTGAGGAAGGGTGAAGTAGAACTTCTATTCATACTTAGGGACCATTTCGGTTAAAATTTTGAAATGCCTTAGGACTATAATTGCAAAAACTAAAAAAAGTTATATTATCTCGGTTAATTTGTGTGTCTTACTTATAATTTTGATGTGTTTTAAAAAATAATTATTTTTATAATACGTTCATTTTATCTTTTAATGATACACAAGATTTCAAAAGTTTTTTTGGAATGTTAATCTAAGAGGGTGTTTGGCTAAGCTTATAAGCCAGTCAAACTAGCTTATAAGCACTTTTCGGTTTGTCTACGCGTTTGGTAAAGTTAAAAGTACTTATAAGCCAGGTGTTTATAAGTCAAAAATAAGCCAAAAGCCATAAGATGGTCACCCACAACTTATGAATTTTTAGCTTATAAGCACTTTAAGTTTGACCAAGATTTTTACTATTTTATCCTTAAAATATTCCTTTTTAGATCAAAAATCCTACATCGATTACTCACTGCAGGTATTTTTTCAACCTAACACCCCCCCACCCCCCACCCCCTCTGCAATTCTCATTGACTATATAAGATAAGCAAATTCTCTATTCTTTTCCATTTTTGTATCTATGTGATTGTGTATTAATCTTTGAATTGTATGTAATAAATGAGGACATATTAAATTTTTGGTGTATTGCTTTTTAAGTGTTGTGGTGACGAAGACCGTGTTTGTTTCTCTTCAATATTTTGTCCTATTTAGGTTTATTTTTTATTGAAATTTTTTTGTCAAATTATTAATTATTATAACTTATTATTATATGCTTATTATAAAATAAATTATATTTATCTAAACATTATCTTATCTAAGCACAGTTGTATTTAAAATAAAATGACAAATAGGATATTTTGTATTTGAATCGATCTGGAATCTAAAATTTTGAAGAAATTACGCCATTATAAGTGTAAACAGTTCTAAGGTTATTTAAGTCATTTTAACAGAAAAAGAGCTTATCAGCACTTTTTAATCAAATACTGTAGCAATTTATTATCAATTTTAGCACTTATATCCAAACACGTAACTACTTATTTATTAAATCAGTTTCAGCAGTACTTTTCAGCATTACTTCAAATCAGCTAATCCAAACGGCCTCTAAGATTGAAAAGTGTTTGTTGCATTCGTGTAATGTAACCAATCAAGTTACAGAAATAGAAAGGAAAGGAGAAGGAGTACCAATTAAAGAGGGGTCCTCAAAATTCATTTCAAACTCGACCAATCCCCGCTCTACAATGTTGGTTGTTGGATCAAGCTCAGCAGCAAACTGTGGCGCAAAATGATGACATAACCGAACTGGAAGAAGCAGGAACACTGGTGGAAGAAGCAGGAACACTGGTGGAAGAAGCAGAATTACTGGTGGAAGAAGCAGAATTACTGGAGGAAGAAGTTAAGCAAAAGGCTGAGAGAATAGCGGAGTACCGAGGCATAATTCTTGCTCAGCTTGAAACTGATATCTCTTCCATTTTTGCGGCTCAAAGACCCGTGTTGGGGACCCGTTTTGACAACGGATCCGTATTCAATCTGGGCCCTCTAGTGATCCCTGCAGCTCCGGTACGTTTCTTGGTTTTCTCATTTATTGTGAAATTACAGATGCATAATGTTTTAATTATATATATTTTGCTCAGTAACGTTCTAGAACTACTAGTAGTAAAATTGTGATACTCAATTTATTTTAGTGTTCTTTATCTGGAGGTGAAACTGTTGAATATATGTTGTAACTTATAAGCTCATTCTGCTTTTTCTGGCACAATGTTAGTGTAGAATAAAAGCAGCTGAATAGAGGCCCAAATTTTGGTTGATTTATTAAGCTGGAAAGAGCGGCATGAACCCTAATCAGTTTGGGATTGTAGCAGAGTTGTTTGATAGTAATAGCTAAGAACACCATTTTTTGTGACTTCAAGTCATTTTGTGGTGTTTGATTAGATGTAAATTCGATGGAATATAATATTAGTGGAATTATGATGAGTGAAGGTATTAAAAGCAGACGAGGTAGATGTGAAGTCACATGTCTCGAAAGACCTACAATCTTGTGGAATCCTAGGAAACCAGGTGAAAAATAAGGTGTAATGGAACAAAATGATCTATACATGCAATACCAATCAATTGAGCAACACGTTTTCTTCAAGTTCTATGTTTATGGTGAAAGCCAAAACCTCTCGTCCAAAAAATTTCAAAGCGCATTGGGGAGAATGGCATCATGAATGATTTTGAAAGAGGATCAGGTGGCTCTGTTTGTATACAAAATTGTCTCCTTATACTTCTTTTTAAATGAAAAGCTCTCTTATAGTTAAACTCTTCAGTTAGCATGTACCCATTATAAGAATAGTTAACCTGGAAAGTGGGTTGGTTAAAGCTTTGATCTTCAGGAATGTAGTAAATCACTGTATGAATTAGCCACACTGGATTGGAGGAAAATATAGTTGGCGAGGAATCTTGGATTAACATCATTGTTTTGAAACTTACCATCTGTTTTTTCTCCAACTTGTTGAATCATTGTGCAGATGGTACCATGATTATCCCACTGTTTTTTGGATAACTGAGGAATCCCCGAGGGCGAACTACTTACACGGTTGAAAACTCGATCGTGAATGGCTCAGCCCCTCTACACTTATCCACTTAAATATCAGGTTTTTATCCATGGCAGGGCTCGAAGTGACATGCCATTAACCCACATATTGTGACCCAAAGCCCTGTGGACTGCACCTTGAGGAATAATGAATGGTTGCTCGATATCTCTCTTAGGTTGTTCACTTCTTTCACATAGCAAGTTCTTCCATGTTCATAATTGTATTATTGATTGTTCAAAGCCAACTAGAAAAACCTATGTAAGTGGTAACTTTTTGAGACTAATGAAAAACATCAAAAACGGCATTTACTGTGGCAATAATGATTTACCTTATAAAAAAAATGATTTAGGTCAAAAATGAAACAGTCTGGTTCCACCTACTGTCCCAAATAAATTGTTACATTTCTCGGCCACTCACAGAAAAAGGTATTGAGCGCAAGGGGTAGTATTATAGTATTATTTCCAGTTTGGTATGGTCATGTCCATCCTATGTTTGAGAATTACAAGGCTTGAAATATACACATAGTGTGATGAGTGCTAAATGCACCCTAGTCAAATCTTCTCATTAGGGTTTAATATTGACATTATTAGGAGCATCACCTTTTCTGTATAAAGTTTTAATATGACAGTCTAAAGATTGTCTACCTAAGTTAAAAGCTCACTGATTATTTTCAGTAACTCTTTGTTTTGTTTGTAATTGTTATCCTGGTCTCTTTACAGATGTTGGAGGACCAACTAATATTGCCATGTTAGCTGGAGAGGAGCGGAAAGAAGCTGAGAAAATACAGCTCCTTAAAAAGAAGAATTTGGAGAGTGCTTCCGCTATACCCGTTGCATTAAATAGGATGAAGGATTGTATGGCAAGGATTGATAAACTACAATCATGCAACGGAGTCATACATCCTACCTTTAAAAGGAAAAGGAGTAGCTGACGAGCCTCTGCTAGCTAAATCTGCTTGAGGTTATGATATTAGCTCACAATCTAGAAGATTTTCAAGATCTGCATTCGGCGTAACAGTATAAAACTTTGTGAAGCTGACATGAGCATAAACTGATTGTGTAGTTGTTGAAAAGGATGAAGTGTTTGGTTTGTTTTTTGGCTATCCGAGTCATATATTCCACTTTTGACAACTTATTTTGGCATCAAATGGCAATATATTGCATTCACGCTATTCTTTTCCTTCGTTTTTTTGTTCTATGATGCTCGCAAGTGCCACCCTAAAGAGAGCCCTTGATATCTATCTTCTTCTCACGTTAACCATGCCAAATGGTGCTTAGTGAACATGTCATCTGCTAGATTCTTTCAGTCAATTGCTAAACCATTTTAGATAAGCAAGTGTAACGACCCGACCGGTAGTTTTGAGTACTAGCGCTCCGTTCAGCAATCGGAGGCCATGAACAACTTCATTTCAGGTATTATGACTTGTACGCGTGGTCGGAATTGAATTTCGGGAAGTCCAGAGTTGATTTGGGAAGAGAATTCTTATTTCGGAAGCTTAAAGTTGGGAGAATGAACTAAGATTGGAATTTTGAGTAAACAACCTCGGAATCAGGATCTGAAGGTTCCAGCAGGTTCGTATGATGATTTCGGACTTGGGCGTATGCCCGGTACGGGTTTTGGATAACCCGGGAGCGTTTTGGCGCCTATTGTGGAAGTTAGCATTTTAGAAGGAATTTCATAAGTTTGGTTCGAAGTGCATTTCAGAGTTATCGATATCCGTTTGGAATTCCGAGATTGGGAGTATTTTCGTATGGTGATTCTGGAGTTGGGGGCGCGATCGGAAGTGAATTCGGAGGTCCGTAGGTCATTTTGAGGCCATTTGGCTAAAGATAGAAATTTGAAGGTTTTTGGGAAGTTTGATCGGAGGTTGACTTTTTGATATCGGGGTTGGAATCCAATTCCGAAAGTTGGAGTAGGTCCGTAATGTCAAATATGATTAGTGTGCAAAATTTGAGGTCAATCGGACGTGATTTGATAGGTTTAAACATCGGAAATAGAAGTTGGAAAGTTCAAAGTTTATAAAGCTTGAATCGGGGTGTAATTCATGGTTTTAGCGTTGTTTGTTATGATTTGAGGCCTCGAGCAAGTCCGTATTGTGTTTGGGACTGGTTGGTATGATTGGTTGGGGTCCCGGGGGCCTCGGGTGGATTCCGGGTGGCTAACGGATCGAATCCGGAGTTTGAAGAAGTGCTGAGGCAGCTGGTATCTGGTACTTCCGCTTCTGCGGAAATGGGACCGCAGAAGCAGCCCGCAGAAGCGAGGAAGAAGCCGCAGAAGCGGGCGAGGGTAGCCAGGACCGCAGAAGCGGCCCTTGATCCGCTGATGCGGAACCGCAGAAGCTGTTGGCTCATCGCAGAAGCGAAAATGGGCTTGAGCCCAGGGAGCGCAGAAGCGGAATATTTTCCGCAAAAGCGGGACCGCGGAAGCGGGATTATTTCCGCAGAAGCGAAAATCCCTGAAGGCAGAAGGTTAATTTAAAGTCGGGGATTGGCCATTTCTCTCATATTTCTCATGGCTTGGGGCGATTTTGGAGAGCTTCAATGAAAGGATTTTCGTCGTCAATGTCAAGGTAAGTTATCCCCATCACTTTTGTGTTGAATATATCAATTATGTATGGATTTAAGTATGAAGATTAGTGTAAATTTGGGGTTTTGGTTGAAAACCTAGGAAATTAGAAATCTTGGATTTTGATTACGATTTTGAGTATGGAATTAAGAGAAAATTATATATTCGAGTTCCTAAGGTTATGGGTAAACTTTATCTTCGAAAAGTTTTGGATTCCGGGCACGTGGGCCCGAGGGCGTCTTGGTCAACTTTCCAATCGGGGTTAGAAATTGATATAAATTAGTTGTAATGAATATTTGAGCATATATTAATGGATTTGCGTAACCATTGGCTAGTCTTGGAGCGTGGTGAATCAATTGGAGTCCTTGGAAGAATGTAGAATGCCGGTTTTGAGTCTTCGGAGCGAGGTGAGTCTCCTTTCTAATCTTGTGAGGGGGAATTTACCCCATAGGTGAAGTAATTGATTATGTGCTCCTATTTGTGGGGGCTACGTACGCACGAGGTGACGAGAGTCCGTGCGTAGCTACTATTATGCTATTGTCCGGGTAGTTAGGACCCAAAAGCATGTTGCACGTGGATTAATTGTGAACCCATTGGTAGCTCGAATTGTTTAACTTACATCAAATTAGTAAGTAAATTTCTAAAAGGATTAAACTTCATTTTCTTAAATTGTTAAAGGAGAATTGGTTTTATTTGAATAAATATTCCCCCGATAAGTTCTTATTTGACTGATTGAGCATGTATTTTATGTGTGCCTGCGTCGCATGGATGATTCGCGAGCAGGATCTGTGTTTATTTATGGAACGGGTCGAACGCCTCAGTGAGAATAGATGCATCTATGGTTCGTGCCGCTCGACCCTCGGCAGTGCACAATTTACATTTCCGTTGGAGCGGGCCGTCGACCTCGGCATGATTTGCGCGTGTTTATCTGTTACTTGAAATTGTAAATGTGGAATTGGTCCTACGTGGCTTGATATAAACTGATATGATAATAAAGAACAAACTTTAGAAGCCCTGGATTTATTGTTGAAGGTGTTTACCTGTTTTTCTGGCTTCACAATCAAAACTTCTATACAAATCCATGATTTTCCTCGCACTTATAGAACATTGCTAATTGACCTCTAGTGAGTGTCGGAGTTGGCCATCTCGTCTCTACCCCTTCGGGATTAGGCGGGATACTCACTCAGTACACGTTGATTACGTACTCATACTACACTTCTGTGCATTTTTGTTGCACAGGTATATATACCTCTAGCAGCCTATTGGGTGTAGCAACACGGACGACTCTGGGACTAGGTGAGCTGCATTGTTCGAGACGACCCGCAGCCAGTGTAGTTCCTTTCAGCATTTTATTATTTATTCCCCGTCCACTGTATTTCGGACAGATGTTGTATTTTACTTTCCATATCGATAGTTGCTCATGTACTTGTGACACCGGGTTTCTGGGATGGGTTTCAACGGATTTGTACTAATTGTTATTATTTAAATTTGAATTCAAGTAGTGAACTTTCATTTATGAAAATGGAAAGAAAAACCTTAGATTTTCAAAAGTATTAAAAGAGGAATTAATTGATAATCTAGTTGGCTGGCCTGACAGAGGTATCCGGCGCCACCACGACCCTTAGTGGATTTTGGGTCGTGACAGCAAGTATGATCACAATGAAGATAATTCCACACCAAATCTTAAATGCTTTAATGGAAATTCAGTGTCAAGTATTGTATGAAGAGATACTAGTCGACCTGACAAAATTTGTACAATATATTAAATCCATTATTAAATCGATTAAGCCAAGAACATAACAAGTCACAGCAAGCTGTTACAATTTAATATTCCTGAACTTAAATTGTGATTGCTTTACAGCTTATTACATCATCATCAGATATTGACTTGGGAATGGAAGTGCTCATCAACACCCCATCCATGTTCCTTGCATTTTCAACATTAAATACCACAGTGCTAAGCCCCTTACCAATAATAAAGATATCATTCCCAACAGCCACCAGCCGACAGGGAGGCTTCGTCAATAGGGGCGACAATCTCCCCACTGCCACCCACTGCCTTATATCCTTTTGCCACATCATCAACCTGGTACCTGAAGACTGATCTAACACGTAAAGCATCCCGCCTACAACGACTGCTGGACCATGCCAACCTGACGCTAAGTCAAAAGCTGCCGGCTGCCATGTGGTGCTAGAAGGTTCAAAGAAAAATGCAGGCACTGCAGGTGTTAGAGGTGAAGAAACACCGCGGATGTAAATTTTCCCATCCAAGACTATGGAATCTTCAATATCAGGAAAAATGTTGGAATTTTCACGCAAAGTCCAACTCATTGTTTCCGGGTTGTAAGTCTCCCAGGAAGGTAAATTATTGGAATTTGGCCCTATGCCCCCAATTGCAAAGATTTTTTCATTGAACACTTCAGACACACAGTAGCACCTGAAAATAACAGAATCAGATGAGCTCTGACATATTTAGCCAAACAGTGATGAAATGCCAGAAGGCTAACTTGAATGAATACAACAAATATGAAAAATGCTTGAATGGTAGATTCTTATTGTTATCAGTACGATAAGGGTGAGGCTACTTGGCAATAACCATGAAAACATATAGAACAATATAAATGCATCAAAAGAGACAGACCCCTGCATCGGAGGAAACAATAATCACAGATGTAAAACCAGAATTAGCAAACGAGCCACATGAATTTCTTATGGCACGGAAATGCCTGCTCTAAGGTCTTCCAAGGCCTAACCTATAAGTGCCAAAGCAAATCTGATTCCTGTAAAGATTAAAGATCCCTGGCAGATAAAGACAATAATAGTGTTCTCAGGTTGACACTACAAAACTCGAAATACTCCCAAGCAAAACAAGAAGGATAAATACAAATACCTTGGAACCACCAATGAAGCAGCTTGATTCCACGTATTCATGGCAGCATCATAGCAATAGACTTCATTTGTAGCATCTTCAATCCAGCCACATCCACCGAATAGGAATAGTTTCTTCCCTAACACTTCAAACCCCACACCTTTTCTCCTTATGCAGCGATGCGGAAGTCCTAGAATGGGCTTCCATCCCCTTTTTAAGCGAGTCGGATCCAATACATAACAGCACAGCTGTTCAGACTTGTCTCTACCTAAGGCATAAATCCAACTCTCCTGGAGATGATGTTTCTTTCTGTAGGAGTACCACTCTTCACCACAAACCAAATTTCTCCATTTTCTTGACACACATTTGAGAAGCGCATGATACCTTCTAGGAACCCTTGCCAAGCAGAAAAGCGCAATGTCATCAGGAAGCCCAGGAATTAATGGTGATACATCTGGATCCGATTCACTATTTCCCCCCGACCCACTGTCCTCAACCTCCACCGACTGGTCATTATCCAGCGTAGTTTCTGTCTGAACAAAATTCTCCGACTCAGAATACAATCCATCCATGTTTGTTCTTGTGCCCTATAAATCAAAGATCCACAAGCTAATCAATATCAGTAAATTGCTCAATCTTTTGCACGAGCCGAAACCAATCATCTTATTAGATCCAAAGAATATTAGGAGTATGTTAAGACTAAAGAAATATAATTCTTTTTCTTCTGGCAATCGAGAACTCGAAAAAA